AGAAGACAATCCCCGAAGACATGGATTTGTTGGGATCCATATTGGGATCGATGCAAAAGCCGCCGAAGACTACGACCACTGAACAGCAACAGAGGGCTAAAAGTAATGACCATTTGATTGGCTCTCAACTGAAGAGTGAATGCAATTGTCTTTAATTTGGTTTTGATTTGATTTGACAGAAGAGACCGAAAAGATGGAGAAAATGCGGAAACAAGAGAAACAAGAAATGATGACATTTAGGAAAACTGTAAGACATTTATGTCTTCATATATCACTTGTTGTGGCCATCCATTGATCTCTGAAAATGTGATTTTAATTGATGTGTGATTTTGATTGTCATTTCTGATGGGAACAGATTGAGGATAAGATTAACAAATTCATGGCAAGCGATTCGGAGCCTAAATTGGATTTTGGATTAATGGACAAAATGCACAGAAGTATAATGTAATGCATTTCTTTGGATCCGCTCTTGAATTGAGAAATTGATTGAATTATTGGTTGTTATGACAGACACGACGTTTCGGACATCGCGGGTCTCAACGCCTACTCGTTTGGTCTCGAAGACGTGGACAGACATACCGTTGTCTACAAGAAAGAGTTCACTCCTTCTGAGGACGAGTTGAATGCTTTGAAGAAAGGGGAGGAATACGACCCGAAGAAAGCGGAACTTTTAAAACAAATGGTATTGATTTGAGTGAATGTTTGGTTATTTGTCTTGAGATTCAATATTTGTTTGTTTGGAAGGAATTGGAAGAACAGAACCGAAAGGTCGTCAAAGACAAAGATATCGTTCCGAACAAAGATTTTAGGGATAAATACGAGAAATTGATTGGTTTGGACGCCGGCAAGAGTGCCGCTCAGGTGACCACTCCTAACAAACAGTTTGGATTTGGTATTCAATGATTGCATTGTTGTTGTAAATGGGATTCATTATAAAATTGGTTTGCTTTGTGAACAGTTCCGAGTGCTAACAAAAGAGATCAGAGATCTATTGAACAAATATTGGCCGACAATAAGAAGAAGAAATTGAAAGCAGAAGAAAATTAGCGATTGTATTGTTTAGTCAATTATAGTGTAAACAACTAATGCTATTATTGAACAATTAAATCATTTATAATTTATTACATATTATTTCATTAGTATTGTTAATAATATCATTTAAAACTAATTTTAAAATTTATGTAAATTTATAAATAAGTTAATGAATGAAACTCTAAAATTTAGACTATAATGAACTAAAACATTGTATTTTAGATTCTTATTGCAGCCGATCTGCAATTTTTATTATTTTGATCAACAAATAAATACTTTTTGCATTCTTTTATGAATTCTTATTGATTTTATATTATATTAAAATAATTATAAAATATTGAAATAAATTAAATTTAATAATATTTTTAGATATTATCCTTAATGTACTTGAATTACATTATATGTACCGAATTCTTCCACTTTAGCCGCCATGGCGTGTTATGTCAGGGGTCTCTGACTCGGGTAGACTTTAAAATAGCATGGTGTGTTATCTAGGTAGTACGCCACCACCTCTAAAAAATTGAGATAACACGCCATGTCGTTATATCTCATATTACTAGCCATGAGATATAATGAATACATGTATTTATCGATTCAATAACTAATTACACACATTTAAATGAGAAAAATAGAGAA